GCCGCGCGCCTTTTGAATACTCGCATAATGTGGGTAAACCATAGTAGCGCATCTTACCTTATATTTTCCCGTGTCCGGTTTTCCGTTTCGGGCGACGGCACACTCACCGAGCTCTCCGGCGGGGAATCATGTCGGCGAAGGCGGGCTCTGGCGTCTCGGTGATGCGCTCCGATCTCGACGCGTCGACCTCGACGGAGGTGGACGCGCACGAGGCGCAGTGGCGGGCCGGCGTCAACCGCCAAGCGCGTCCAGACGCCGCTTCGCAAAGGCGGGCGGCGGCGTCATTGGCTGCTGCAGCCAAGCGGCGGCGGAGAAGGACATGAACAACATACCTGCGCAAGCCGTCGCCCGGGCGGCCGCAGGCGGTGCCATCTCAACCCACTCTCGGCACCGCTGCACGTGCGTGCTCCCTTTCCCACCCAATTGGGCTCCACTTTTGTCCACCCGGGCCCACCCCATCATTTGCTCTCAGGCTGATTGCGGCGTGTGTTGCGCAATGCCGAGCCCCCAGACGCTGGCCAGAGCAAGATTGTGATGCCTCTGTCTGGGCCGGGGGGGCGTTCGACAGCGCGCGAGGCTGCCTCCCTGCCCTTTGCGACGCTTGCGACCACTGCTGAGTTGCATGCAGTACAGAGTAGCAGTGGTGGGGAGGGCTTGCGCCCCCCCCCCCCCCGGCAGAATGGTAAACTCGTGTCTACTCACCTCGTCGGCTCCATCGGCTGCCTCTCGTGCGCCGGCGGCCTCTCCATCCAACCGGTTCTGCGTCCCCTTCTCTGCCCGGTGCTCGCGTGTCGCGATGTCGCTCTGCCGAGAGGGTCATCGCCGGCGTAGGCGGAGCGGCGGGCCCTTCGTTACAGAGACAACAAAGACATTTCACCCCTCGGGCTGTTGTTGCAGACAGAAAAACAAATTTGGCGCGCGTGCGCGCAAGGTATGCTAGTGTATGTACAAAGAGAGAGGATTTAGGCTTGGGGCAGAGCGAGTGGGCGAACTTTTCGGCGGTCGTGCTTTTCGGCGGCCGTGGAGGTCGTGGAGGTCGTGGAGTGGCGAGTCACGCTTGGGCGGACAGCACTGATGCCGTCGCCGGACGCGGCGGCGAGGCACACGGGCGCCGGCGTGGCGCGTCGGCAGGCCCACCACGAGCGGATGCGCGACGAGCGCGCTCGGGAAGCGGCCGCGGGCGACGCGGAGCTTCCGCCGGAGGACGACGCGGTCGAGATGGCGAGCGCCGCCCACGTGCTGGACAGCGTGGCGGAGGTGGGCCCGAACTACACGCTGCTGCGCAGCAAGGAGACGAAGGCGAAGCGGCGGAAGCGACAGCGCGAGGATGCCAGGGCGGCGCTCGACGGCCACACTGTCCTGTCCACCGGATCGCGCCTCGAGATATTCTGCGACAGCGAGCGGTGGTACCCTGCGACCGTCATGGCGCGGGAGGAGGACGGGGACGGACGGATCGTGCACGAGATCGAGTACGACGGCTTCTCGGATCGGCGGTGGTGGCACATGCTGCACGACGAGCGGTGGCGCGCCGTCCCAGAGCAGGCCGGCGCGGGCGCAGGCGGCGCTGCTGCAGACGGGGATGGGGATGCGGCGATGGACCGCGCGGACGGCGAGCATGGCGCCCGTGCCGCGGGCGCCGCCGAGGCGGCCGAGGTGCGGCCGGCGCCGCCTCCTGTGCGCCGGGGTGTGCGGCGCAGCGCGCTGGCGGACGCCCTCGAGGCGGAGGATGACGAGCAGCAGGAGGAGGCCGCGCGCGGCGATGGGCGGCCGATGCTAGCGCCCCACGGTCCGGCGCTGTCGGTGCAGCTTCGGCGCGAGTTCCTGGCGACGCAGGCCGCGGCGGGGAAGAGCGTGCCGATGCAGCGGACGGCCCTCGGTCTGCACCCGACGGTGCGGTGGACGATCCGCTTCGGCAAGTGGCTGGCGACGACGCGAATCATCGCGCCGAGGGCGAGCCGGTGGCACGCGACCGAACAGGGCGACGCGCGGGAGGAGGAGCCGACGGTGCGCACGGGTCGCGGCGAGAACACGATCTACGTCGCGCTGCAGCACATGAAGAACCACGTGTGGCGCGAGATCTGGCCGGCGATGCCGGACGACGCGAGGCAGTACTGGCGGCTGGTGACCAAGCAGGTGATGTCGCTGTACGACGGCGGCGGCGGCGGGATGAAGGACGCGGCAGGAGCCGCCGGCCGGGCGGCGGGCCGCGAGGCGGCGGGCCGCGAGGCGGCGCGCGAGAGCGCGTCGCACGGGCAGAGTGAGGCGGCGCAGCTATCGTGACATACCTGCAAAAGTCCAGGTTTACCCGAAAAATACCTGGACGCGTCCCGACCAACGTATGCCGCGCACGACGCCATATCGCCTTGTCCCAGGGCCAGTGCGCTACTTGCGGCGCGCAACTCCTGCTACAGTACGCGCACCTTTCCTTCTGCTGCCGCTATGCGTGTCTTAAGGCGGCTGCGGCGAAGCGGCGGGCGCGGCATGCCGATGGCAGTGC